AAAAAAAAAAAAAAAAAAAAAAAAAAAAAAAAAAAAAAAAAAAAAAAAAAAAAAAAAAAAAAAAAAAAAGAAGAAAGACTTGCTTTTCATCAGCTGAACTTTTGTCTTATTTTGGGATTAGAAATTGAATTTTCTGGTTAGAAAACACCTTCTGGCTATGATATATTTATCACAACCTGCCCTTAACTTCTCTCATTTAAGAGTATGTGGGAGTGTGGGGGTGATAGTTTTGTTTTTTGTTTTTTTGACAGTCTTGCTCTGTATCAGGCTGAATTACAGTGGTGAGATCGTGGCTCACTGCAGCCTTGACTTCCCAGACTTATGTGATTCTCCCATCTCACCCTTCCGAGTAGGTGGGACCACAGACATGTGCCACCACACCTGGCTAATTGACCTTTTAAACTTTTTTTTTTTCTTTGAGACGGAGTCTCGCTCTGTTGCATAGGCTAGAGTGCAGTGGTGCAATCTTGGCTCAATGCAACTTCTGCCTCCTGGGTACAAGTGATTCTCCTGACTCAGCCTCCCAAGTAGCTGAGATTACAGGTGCATGCCACTACACCTGGCTAATTTTTGTATTTTTAGTAGAGACAAGGTTTCACCATGTTGGCCAGGCTGGTCTTGAACTCCTGACCTCAGGTGATCTGTCCACCTCAGCCTCCCAAAGTGCTGGGATTACAGGCGTGAGCCACCACACCTGGCCGACTTTTTAAATTTTTTTATAGAGATCGGGTTTTGCTTCATTGCCCAGGCTGGTCTGGAACTCTGGGCTCACATGATCCTTCCACCTTGGCCTCCCAAAGTGATGGGATTATAAATTTGAGTCACCATGCCTGGCCTAAGATCTTTTGTAGCTGCTAGTTTCTGGTACCCACTCATTTATGAGATTATCTAATTTGAGAATAAAGTATGGGTCAGGAATAAGGCACATCATTTGGGAGTAAGTGGTAGGACCTGATATATTTTTGGATCCATTTCAGTCATTTGGTTGAATTGTGAACTTGAATATTGCTGCCTCTTCCCCTTCATTTTAGCTTCTGCTCATTTTGTCTCTTTTTCTTTAAAATAGGCCTGGAATGTTCTTGCTCTGGATGGCAGTAACTGGCAGCGAATTGACCTATTTGATTTCCAGAGGGATATTGAGGTATAATTAAGTGGTGTGTGGCCCCAATTTTCATGTTAGTAATTACAGCGTGGAACAGATTAGCCCTAACCATATTAATCTCATTTTCCTTAGAGAAGGGGGACTATTATTTTTCATCTGAACTTTACTGGAACCTCCAAAGTTCCCAAGAGTTTCTGTAGTTTTTGAGAATGAGCCAAATTATTTCATTTAAATAGTACAATTACTTAGTATTAATAGAACTAAATAAAACTCTTTGGTCCTGAAATATGACTAAAAGTTTGTTTTTGCAGTAGAAACGTTTAACTTATGTTTGCTTATTTTAGTGAAGACATTTTATATGTTTATTGAAGAACAAATAGAGTCACAACTTCTTGGGATGGCATTTATATATATATTTTTTGAGATATGTGTTTTGGTTCTTGAGGAGGCTTTTTTTTTTTTTTTTTTTTTTTTTTTTTTTTTTTTTTTTTTTTTTTTTTGAGATGTAGTTTTGCTTGGTTGTCCAGGCTGGAGTACAGTGGTGCAATCTCTGCTCACTGCAACCTTCACCTCCCAGTTCAAGCGATTCGCCTGCCTCAGCCTCCTGAGTAGCTGGGATTACAGGTGCCTGCCACCATACCCAGCTAATTTTTTGTATTTTTAGTAGAGATGGGGTTTCACTATGTTGTCCAGGCTAGTCTCCAAGTCCTGACCTCGTGATCCATCTGCCTCAACCTCCCAAAGTGCTGAGATTACAGGCGTGAGTCACTGCACCTGGCAGTGAGACAATTTCTTGTGGAGAACGAAGATTGAATAAGGCCAAAACCATTTACTGAATTGTTTTTGCTAGAGAGATTTTTCCCTCCTCTCACTTTTTACCCTATGTTTTATCTCTTGGTATAGCCTCTTATCTATAAAATGGAGAATAGCTTAAGCTTAAATTATTTTAAACTGAATTTGAACTGTGTAGTTCTTAGTCTTCTCATCAGGAAAGTAGAAATAATAGCTTCTTCATGGCCTCGTGAGGATTGAATGAGATTTTCTGAGGCTACACAGGATGGCTCACGCCTGTAATCCTAGCACTTTGGGAGGCTGAGGTGGGCATATCACTTGAGGTCAGGAGTTCGAGACCAACCATGGCCAACATGGTTAAACACCATCTCTACTAAAAATACAAAATTAGCCGGGCATGGCAGCACATGCTTGTAATCCCAGCTACTCAGGAGACTGAGGCAGGAGAATCGCTTGAACCCAGGAGGCGGAGGTTGCAGTGAGCTGAGATTACGCCACTGCACTCCAGCCCAGCCAACAGAGCGAAACTTCATCTCAAAAAAAAAGTTTTTTTTTAAGCTCCAACAGAAATAAACGTTCTTGAATCCATGAAAGAAGTTTTTTAATGCCTGAGATGAACCTTCCATTATCTTTAGAAAGTGCTTTTAAAATAATACCCACTAGCATTATACTGGATTTTGTTTTTCACAATTCCATAACCTTCATGGATATAAATATTTAAAGCAACACCACCCACAAAATTATTCAGCAAGCTTTTGGGTTTTTTTGTTGTTGTTGTTTTTGAGATGGAATCCCATTTTGTCACCCAGTGGTGTGGTATTGGCTCACTGCAACCTCCACATCCTGGGTTCAGGCAATTCTCATGCCTCAGCCTCCCAAGACGCTGGGACTACAGGTGTGTGCACTACCATGCCTGGCTAATTTTTGTATTTTTAGTAGAGATCAGGTTTTGCCAGGTTTTGCCATGTTGGCCAAGCCTGTCTTGAACACCTGACTTCAAATAATTTGCCCACCTCAGCCTCTCAAAGTGCTGGGATTACAGGCGGGAGCCACTGCGCCTGCACAGCTTTTGTTAAGTTTTTTGTTAACATTTAACCTGTTAAATGTTCATTAAGTCCCTGCTATAAGCAGAGTACTATAGTACACATTTTGGGAAAGATACCAAAAAAAAAAATGTAATTGCTGTCCTTCAGTAGCTGTGGCTTAACCCACCTGGGCAGTATATATGCATATAGTGCCATAGAGAACTGTAGAAGATCATTTTCTCAAATACAGAATATATTTTACAAGTTGAACAAAATAAGAATATAGGGAGGCGAAGGTTGCAGTGAGCCGAGGTCGCACCACTGCACTCCAGCCTGGCGCCTGGTGACAGAGTGAGACTCTGTCTCAAAAAAAAAAAGAATATAGGGCTTAGGCATGATTCAAGTGATATGGGTTAATCAGGAAAGCTTTCTTAGGGTAAGTTAGAATTTTCCTTTTAAATTAATTAGGTCATAATGGAAGCATTTTCTCTTTGTTTATAAATTGTTAAAAACGAGGATGTGTTCTTTTCAAAAGTAATGAGATGGGTTATCTTTTTGTTTGCCTGTCTGTATTTACAGGGCCGGGTAGTGGAGAATATTTCAAAACGATGTGGGGGCTTTTTACGAAAGTTAAGTCTTCGTGGATGTCTTGGAGTGGGAGACAATGCATTAAGGTAAAAACATAACAGTTGATTAATTTTCTTGATGGAAGTAAAGAGCAGCACCATCTCACCCAGAAAAGGCTAAAATAGTTTTAAAATTCCTAAGCTATAAAAATGCAACCACACATACTGAAAATGTCCAGTAATAGGAAATGTAGTTTTAACAATAAACAAGAACAAAGTACTGCCTGAAAAAACCCAGATTCCCCATCATAAGTGGTTCTTTTGGAACTTTGAAAAGCTTTTAAAAAATTAATTAATTAATTAATTATATTTACTTTATGTTTTGAGACAAGGTCCCACACTGTTACCCAGGCTGTAGTGCCCTGGCGTGATCATGGCTCACTGCAACCTTGAACTCCTAGACTCAAACAGTCCTCTCCCTTCTGAGTAGCTGTGACTAAAGATGTGTACCACAACGGCTGGCTAATTTTTAAAAATTTTTTATAGAGACAGTCTCATTTTGTTGTCCAAGCTGGTTTCAAACTCTTGCAGTCAAGCAGTCCTTTTACCTCAGCCTCCCAAAGTGCTGGAATTATAGGCGTGAGCCACAGCACCCAGCCTAGTTCTTTTTGTAAAAACTTTGATTTACTCAAAAGATAAGATAATGTTAATTTAGGCTGACACAAAGATCAAGTTTAGCGTTATGGTTAAACCTAACCTGAGCAGTGGCCCCAGTACTTGGGGAGACTAGGTGGGAAGATTACTTGATGCCAGGAGTATAAGATCAATCTAGGCAGCATGGCAAGGCCCTAATCTCTACAAAAAAGTTTTTTTAATTAGCCAGGTTATGTGACATATGCCTGTAAACCCAGCTACTTGGGAGACTGAGGTTGGAGGATCACTTGAGCCTGGGAGGTTGAGGCTACAGCGAGCTGTGACCGTGCTACTGTACTATAGCTTGAGTGACAGAGGAAGACCTTTTCTCTAAAAATAAATAAGCAATCATTTAATTTATTTTAAATTTAAAATAATTTTTAAAGTTAGGTTTGAAGAATTTATAATTGAAAATTAATTTAAGCCAGGTCCGATGGCCCAAGCCTGGAATCACAGTACTTTGGGAGGCCTATGTGTGTGGGTCACTTGAGGTCAGGAGTTCAAGACCAGCCTGACCAACATGTGAAACCCTGTCTCTACTAAAAATAAAAAAACTTAGCTGGGCATGGTAGTGCTTACCTGTAATCCCAGCTACTTAGGAGGCTGAAGCAGGAGAATCACTTGAACCTGGGAGGCGGCGGCTGCAGTGAGCTGAGATCGCACAATTGTACTCTAACCTGGGTGACAGAGGGAATCTCTGTCTCAAAAACAAAACAAAACAAAAAAAAAACCATCATGGCCAGGCTCAGTGGCTCACATCTGTAATCCCAGCATTTAGGGAGGCTGAGGTAGAAGGAATGTGAAGAAGTGTATAACTCAGGGTCCAGAAGGTTCCCAGGCACAGGAGCTTCTGTCACCGTGGAGTTGAGGTGTACTGCCCTCCTGGCATATGGTTACTTTCACCAACCCAGAAGCTCTCTGATCCCTATTATTTAGGGGTTTTTACAGAGATTCCTTGATTGTAGACATGATTGAAGACAAAATATTATATTAGGTTGGTGCAAAAGTAATCATGGTTACTTTTCACCAACCTATAACAAAAGACACTATCACTCAGGAAACTACAAGGATTGTAGTGACTGTATGCCAAGAACCGAGGATGAAGACCAAATATGTGTTTTTCCCTTATATCACAGTATCACAGGTATCAACAACCAATATTACCAATATGTTTTATTTTTTAATGACTGAAATTTTGCCCATTTCATTTGAAACCTTTTTCTTTCTTTCCTACAAAGAACCTTTGCACAAAACTGCAGGAACATTGAAGTATTGAATCTAAATGGGTGTACAAAGACAACAGACGCGTAAGTATTTTATTTTAGGAGGGTAAGTCATAGCCCCTTATGTCTGGCTGATATTAGCTTTAAATTCAGGGCACTAACTATATATATCTAGCAAATTTTATCTTGGTTTTGTAGAGGAAAGATTTTTAAAAGAGAAAGCAACATCAAAGTAGAAATGGAATAAGAAACTTACTTTGGAATTCTATCTTTGATATTTAAGGTGAAACTTTTAATAGTTGTAGTCAATGTATATACAGTAGGGATACTAATAATACACATTACTGGGATTACTTATATTTCTTTTTTTTTTTTTTTTTTTTTTTTGAGACGGAGTTTTGCTCTTGTTACCCAGGTTGGAGTGCAATGGCGTGATCTCGGCTCACCGCAACCTCCGCCTCCTGGGCTCAGGCAATTCTCCTGCCTCAGCCTCCTGAGTAGCTGGGATTACAGGCACGCGCCACCATGCCCAGCTAGTTTTTTGTATTTTTAGTAGAGACAGGGTTTCACCATGTTGACCAGGATGGTCTCGATCTCTTGACCTCGTGATCCACCCGCCTCGGCCTCCCAAAGTGCTGGGATTACAGGCTTGAGCCACCGCGCCCGGCCTTCTTTTTTTTTTTAAGGCCTTCCTACATTAGCCATATTTATATTTCAAGATGCTAGTAGATATCAATTAAAAGCCCCAATAAACATAATTTTATCTAAAGATTAAAATCTTAAACACAGGACTAAACAGCTTATGATACTCCATCCTGAGAGCAGTTATTAAATGAAAATGATTCACTAAATGTGCTGAGTCTGCTTTGGTCGTGATCTAAAGGAAATTAAGCTTATTTCTTTATCCTTAAGAGGCTTACAGTCACAGAAATTAGACATAGAAGGTAGTAGAAGGTAGTTATTCATTAACTCTACTAATAAGTATTTCTATAGATTGATTTAGAAACCTTTACTGTGGCCGGGCGCGGTGGCTCAAGCCTGTAATCCCAGCACTTTGGGAGGCCGAGGCGGTGGATCACGAGGTCAAGAGATAGAGACCATCCTGGTCAACATGGTGAAACCCCGTCTCTACTAAAAATACAAAAAATTAGCTGGGCATGGTGGCGCGTGCCTGTAATCCCAGCTACTCAGGAGGCTGAGGCAGGAGAATTGCCTGAACCCAGGAGACAGAGGTTGCGGTGAGCCGAGATCGCGCCATTGCCTGGGTAACAAGAGTGAAACTCCGTCTCAAAAAAAAAAAAAAGAAACCTTTACTGTAAGAGATGAAATATACTCACCTCTTTCCCCACCATTACTTTACACCAGTAGCATTACATATACTTGAGATAAGTTATCTTTTAATTTTTGCTTCCTTTGAGTACTTAGTGTTATAAAGATTAAGAATTTGATCACTTGGTATCTAGAAAAGTGACATGTAATTAATGCTTTTTTGTCAGAATCTATTTTATCCCAAGACACATTGGCGAAAACTTAATACATATGTGCAAGGCTACTATATTACTTGTAATAGCAAAAGATAGGAAACTACCCGGCATCTATCAGTAGACAACAAGGCTCTATATAATACTCAGGAGTGATTTTTCAGGAGATACTGTTAAATGACAAAAGCAAACTACAGAGGAGTTTGTATAATATACCTTTTGTAGGGCCAGAAGACTTTATATATATCTCCATATTTATATATTTTCAAAAAGAATGGAAATGCCAATCAACAATAAAATAAGGCCGAGTTCAGTGGCTCATGCTTGTAATCCCAACACTTTGAAGGCTAAGGCAAGAGGATCACTTGAAGCCAGAAATTCAGGATTAGCCTGGGCATCATAGTGAGACCCTGTCTCTACAAGAATTAGGTGTGGTGGCACATATCTGTAGTCCTTGCTACTCAGGAGGCTGAGGTGGGAGATTGCTTGAGCCCAGGAGTTGGAGGTTACATTGAGCTATGATTGTGCCACTGCATTCCAGCCGAAGTGACAGAGTGAGATCCTGTCTCTAACAAAAAAAGAAAAAAGAAATGAAAACACTGGCCCACACAAAGATCTAGGAGACATATCAGCCAAAGAGAAAGTGTGACTTCTATTTGGATCCTAATTTGAACAAATCAACTTGTCAAAAACATGTATGATATAATTGGAGAAAAATTAACACATTTAGGTATCATATGATATTCAGGAATTTAAAGTACTTACCTACTAGAAATAGATACTGAAATATTTACAGGTAAAATGATATGTCTGGAATTGGCTTTACAATCCTGGAATAAAAAAGTGGGGAAGAAGAGATGGAATAAATTTTTTTTTTTGAGGCGGAATTTTGCTCTTGTTGCCCAGGCTGGAATGCAGTGGTGCAATCTTGGCTCACTGCAACCTCCACCTCCTGGGCTCAAGCCATTCTCCTGCCTCAGCCTCCCAAGTAGCTGGGATTACAGGCATGCACCACCACATCCAGCTAATTTTGTATTTTTAGTAAAGACGGGATTTCACTATGTTAGTCAGGCTGGTCTGGAACTCCCGACCTCAGGCAATCTACCCACCTCAGCCTCCCAATAAATAAAAATACTTAATAGTAGAATATTGATAAATGTTGGGCCAGGTGCAGTGGCTCACATTTATGGTCCCAGCAGTTTGGGAGGCCAAGGTGGGTGGATTACTTGAGGCCAGGAGTTTGAGACCAGCCTGGCTAACATGGCAAAACCCCGTCTCTACTAAAAATACAGAAAAATTAGCTAGGTATGGTGGTACGTGTTTGTAGTCCCAGCTACTCAGGAGGCTGAGGCAGAATCGCTTGAACCTGGGAGGTGGGGGTTGCAGTGAGCCAAGACTGCATCACTGCTCTTCAGTCTGGGCAACAGATCAAGACTGTCTCAAAAAGAAAAAAAAAAAGAGTATTGAGAAATGTTGAAGTTTACTGATGGTATATGTGGGTTCTCTGTATCATTTACTCTTGTATATATTTGAAGTTTCTCATGATTTGTTAAAAATTAAAATGAGAACTTGACCACCAGAAAAAAGTCTTTAATACATAACTTACTTTTTTCAGGCCAGTACCAGTTCATCATCCATCCTTTGTATACCTTGCAAAAATCCAGTTCCTACATTATTGTTATGCAAACGATTATCTTGAGTAGGGATTTAAGTGAAAAAACATGCAGAGCTTTTCTTCTTCATGTTTGACTACATGCTAGTAGATAGCCATAAGCTTTTTGGTTTTTCGGATTTGCAAAATGCATATAGATCTCTTAGAACTCACTTAAGTAGCACACTGTTAATTGCTGTTAACATTTTGAAATTTGAATCAAACACAATCTTCCCTTCATGCAAATTTTCATACGCAGCACAGCGTTTCTTCTTTGTGAATGATATCTGTCTCTTCCTCAATGGAAGGGTCTTAGGATAGAAAACTGCTTTTTTAGGGGTGTGAAAATTTTGCAATTCTTATGTATACACATTGGTTTAATGAGAACAGTGTCTGATATACCAAGGATGTGTACTTGTCTTGTTTATTCATTATTTTCTCCTTTTTCCATTTTCAGTACATGTACTAGCCTTAGCAAGTTCTGTTCCAAACTCAGGCACCTTGACTTGGCTTCCTGTACATCAATAACAAACATGTCTCTAAAAGCTCTGAGGTAATTTTTAATAATAAGTATGTCCAGTAATCAGAAAAAAATACATACTTTAAAAAAATAACTGATATAAAGTTGGAATTGAAGGCAACTCTGTTTTATGGATATATTCTGTAGTTCAGAGTAGATATTTTCTTTTACCACTTGCCCAAATTACAATTATGGGACATATTAAAGTGAAATGATAAGAGGTAACTAGGATTTCTGAACAGGGGTAGTACAGTTTATACACGAATGGTTAGATTTTTATGAAGTCTTATTTTCAAAAAGAAAAGAGGCTGGGCACAGTGACTCACACCTGTAATCCCAGCGCTTTGGGAGGCCGAGGTGGGTGGATCATGTGGTCAAGAGATTGAGACCATCCTGGCCAATCTGGTGAAACCCTATCTCTATTAGAAATACAAAAGTTAGCTGGGCTTGGTGGCACATGCCTGTAATCCCAGCTACTCGGGAGGGTAAGGCAGGAGAATCACTTGAACTCGGGAGGTGGAGGTTGCCTTGTGCCAAGATTGTGCCACTACACTCCAGCCTAGACAGCAGAGCAAGACTCTCTTTTTTTTTCTTTTTTCTTTTTTCCCCCACTATCTACCAGTAATGGCTATAAGCAGGAGACTCCATCTCAAAAAAAAAAAAAAGAAAGAAAAGAAGGCATGTGTTATAGCCTAGTGCTTAAAACAGGCACCTGGAGCCAGATTACTAACCATGTACTTTAAGCAAACGTAACTAACCTTTCTGAGCTTTTTCTTATCATCTCATAACATTTTATTAAGGTTTAACAAGATATTAGGCAACGCCATATAAAATTTTGCCAGTATTTGACAGTTTACATGTTATAAGAATGACAGGTACATGTGGCTCAACCTAATGTATATAAAGTGCTTTAAAAAGAGTCCCTGAGGCTGGGCATGGTGGCCTGTAATCTCAGCACTTTGGGAGACCAGGGTAGGAGGATCACTTGAGCCCAGGAGTTCGAGACCAGGCTGGGCAACATGGTGAAACCCTGTCTCTACTAAAA